TCCTTCCACTACAACATATCCCCATGATCTATAATGTACAACTTCCACAAAACTTGAAGTTATAAGAACACACATTGCAAATTAGAAGAACAAAATCTATATCAGTAATTAGCAAGCCTACTTCCGATTATATTAACATAAAGCAGGTAAAACAACACAAGTTTGCCTAAAACCTTGAAATAAAAGAAAATTACAAATCATAAAAAGTTCATGCCTAGAGATATCTTCTCTATGCTTAACTTGTCATGAAACAGGGACCCATATAAATAGATACTACAACTTATTTGGTTAAAAGTTTGAGAATTCAATTAGCTACAATATCTAGGTTTTGATCATTTTTACCGGATGAGAATTCTAAATCAAGCCATTGCACAAAGTTCTCTCCTTTGGCTGAAGAAAAGGAATAAAATTTAAGGGGACCAAATGTCCAACAATTTTTAGCAGAAGAGAACCGAAATAAATATACAACCACAACTTACAATAAATACCCAGAAGGGGAAATCAAATCCGTACAACTACATCATAAAATACCCAGAAGCAGAAATCAATGAAGAACAAGCAATTTCACAGCATAAGACCAGCCCAGATTTCAAAGAATCAAAGCAATCCAGATCTCACATAATCAAAACAACAAATGGAATTTGTAAATGATGAGTGAGAGAGAGACTGACGATTTCTTGGCCTGCTCGAGCGAGCGAGTGTGGCAGATGTAGTTAGTCAAGCGATTAAGATGAGATCGATCAAGACGATCAAGACGAGCATGACGAGTAGGGCAAGCAGGACGAACACGAACAGGCGAGCGAGCAGGAGGGACGGTCTTAGCTAGTCCGCTCGTATTAGGGGGTCTCGCTAAGACCACCTAACGAAGGAGTTAGTGAAAGCCAGTCTCATTTAATACCATTAAGGGCGTGTTTACTTATTTGTAATCGGAATGAAAATGTAGAATTGAATTCCTATTACGGAGTATTCCAGTGTTTACTAAACATTGAGGAATCAAAAAAGCTGTGGGGTCCGCACAAATTTTGGAATTCAATTCCTTGCATTGGTGGAATTGGATGTCCTACATCTAGGTGGTAATCCAATTCTTGATTGTTTGGGCAATCAGAATGACACTTTTGTTCCCTTTATGCCCTCACTTACTTTTTTTATTTCCAAGACTATCCTTTATAAACTCATTAACCCTAGTTTAATTATGTACAACTCTATTATGCACAACTCCTTACTTTTTTTATTTGCATGCTCATTCATATTATGCACAACTACATGATCATTCACATTATGCACAACTTCATGCATATGCCGAATAGAAGAAACTACAACTTGAGCAAGAAAATTTAAATATTAAAGTAAATACTTAAATTTATAAAAAAAAAATAAAAAATAAACAAAAGCATGTTAATGTGTCTATGAAATAAAAAAGCAATTTAATTTTTTCTTACTATTATATATTATATCAAATTTTATTAATATATATATATATATATATATATATATATATATATATAATATTTGCTTTGGGAAAAGGACATTTTAGTAATCATATTGGTTAATATTCCGATTCTGCATAATTAGTAAACAACTTTATATAATTAGTGTCATTTCTATTCCGATTCCAGAACATTTAAGTAAACAGCTTTAACAGGAATCTGATTTTGACTTCTTCTCATTTCAACTCCTCCTCAATTCAATTTCTCCTATTTTCATTATGGTTACGTAAACACGCCGACTTAGTCCTGGTAGCCAACAAACATAGGAGAATTACACTAAAAACTAGTTTAGTTTAGTGAAGCCAAACAAACGTGCCTATAATGCGTTTGTTATTATCTCGGACTGGACTAACTTCTGGAATTAAGATGGACTGACTTTGCTTTGACTAACCAGGACAAAAATAGTGAAGTGTTTGGAGCAGCGGACTATATGTCCTAGACTAAATTATGAAGGAAAACAAAAAGGTAATCAGCAAACCGAATTTTGGTCTCAAAAACATATTCGAATAATGAATTCAATACAAAACAGAAGCAAACTGGATGATGTGAAGAAATGTCAAGCTAACAATAATCGCAAATGAAATTGTAGAAATTGGAAACCGAAATACCCATTTTGCTAAAAAAATTGCAGAAATTGCTAAACGCCCACCAAATTCACAGATAAATTGGTTAAAAAAAAAAGAAAAAAAGAAAAGAAAACCGCATTCCAAGACAACAGCATAAATTCCAATCACCATTAGCAGAAATTGCAAATCTTTTGAGGGTTAGAGCAAGTACCAAAGAGCGAAACCGAAATCAAGCAGCAAGAGAATAAAAAATTGGGGACTTTCACATCTGTGAAATACAAAATCTATGATTTCGTAAACATCAACAATTATCTGCGACTTGAGTTTCAGTGGTCGGTGGGATGGTCTAGGCGAGGTCGTCCGGCAGGATGAAAACGCGAGAGGAGTCGATCAGCCGACGCGGCGGGGAATGGTGGCTGAGGTCGAAGGGGTCAAGCAGACGAGGACGCGAGAAAGGAGTCGATCAGACGACGATGCGGCGGAGAGTGGTGGCTGACGCCGGAGGGGTCAAGCAGATGCGGACATGATATAGGAGTCGTTCAGACGACGCCGAGAGAGAGAGGAATCGAGCGTATAAGGACGAGAGAGAGCACGGTCTTAGCAATCCCATAGGTTTCGGGGGGACTCAAGTACAAAAATAAGGAGAAAGAGAAACCATTCGAATTAGAGCACGAAATTGGAAGCCTGGAATGAAGCGGAGGGGAAGGATTCGCAGTGTGAAGGCACTGAAGGGGAAGGATTCGCGATTCGGTTGCAGTGTGAAGACTGAAGAGGAAGGGTTTGGATTTGCTGCTGTGAACTGTGAACACACAAGAGTGAAGGGGAAGACTGAACACACAGCAGTGATAATTATATAATTGTCACTCAATTCTACGACGTTATCCGACCGGCAAACGTTTTGCAGCGATCGTTGATCAAATTTTCCGATAACAAGTTCATTGTCCAACAGTGACTTTTAAAATAAACATTCTAGGTGATGAATTTTCTTCTAAGGTCTCTCTAACTTTACTGTGCATGCGTGTAAAACAACAATAAACTCACACAAAAAATATAATTAAAGATGAGAAAGTTGCACCTCGTGCTATTTTTTATGTCATTGTTGAACATGACATGACATTTTCGAGCGACTCAAAAAAATTCTGGCGTCAATGACAATCCAGCACTGGAGTCGGTGGTCTGTGAATCATGTATAATGGAGGAAAAAATATAAATATTTCTATGCTTAAAAATGTCTGGACTTACAAATAAAATGATTTGAGCTTGGTAATTGATATTTCTTGATACATATTAAAATTGATATTTAATCTGATTTTGCCTCATTATTTTGGAGTTCATGAATCGAGTCCTACAACTGTATGCCACGCTTGGAAACGAATTAAAGTTTTCACCTATAGTTGTGCAAACAAATTAAGCAATGGAGTTTCTTGTTACAATACCAAGACCCCACAAAATTTCAGGATATGTATATTTGGCATGGAAATATGTTCAATTTCATTTGATTGAATATTTCATCCCTTGTAAATAATATTTTTTTTTCATCGTATAAATTTCAAAATCAGGAAGGGGTAAACGCGAAGATCACAAACTAATGACCGGAGCAATCTAGCGAAGATCACAAACTTAATATTTAAGATGATATTCTTTGGTGTATGCTTTTCGCAAACGATATAGTGTTGATAGATGAAACGCAGGAAGGGGTAAACGCGAAGCTTAACCTTTGGAGAGAAGTGTTGGAATCTGAAGGTCTTCGCCTAAGCCGATCAAAGACATAATATATGGAGTGCAAATTCAGTGCAAACGGAGGCCAAAATGAGTTAGGGATGAGGATCGGAGATCAGGAAAAACCAAAGAGCGACCGTTTTCGCTACCTATGATCTATCTTGCAAAAGAACGGAGAATTTGATGGAGATCTCACCCATAGAATACAAGCTAGATGGATGAAGTGGAAAAGTGCATCCGGCGTGTTGTGTGACCGTCGTAGGCCACTGAAGCTCAAGGGAAAATTTTATAGGACGGCAATAAGGCCGGCAATGCTGTATGGCATAGAATGTTGGGCGGTGAAGCATCAACACGTAGGTGTAGTGGAGATGAGGATGCTTCGTTGGATGTGTGGGCACACGAGAAAGGATAAGATTAGGAATGAGGATATCCGAGGTAAAGTAGGAGTAGCCGAAATTGAAGGAAAGAGGAGAGAAAATCGGTTACGGTGGTTTGGACATGTGCAAAGAAGGCCTACTGACGCTCCGGTTCGAAGATATGACCACGGGACAGAGGTTCAGGACCGAAGGGGTAGAGGAAGACCTAATAAAACTTTGGAAGAGACCCTAAGAAAAGATTTAGAGTACTTGGATCTAACAGAGGACATGACACAAAACCGAGCACAATGGCGTTCTAGGATTCATATAGCCGACCCCACTTAGTGGGAAAAGGCTTTGTTGTTGTTGTTGTTGTTGTATAAATTTCAAAATCAGAATCGTTAAATTCTTAATTCCCACTTTAAAGATCATTCATACAAAAAACATTTGAATTGGAAATCGTTTACTCATACAAATGTAACAGATCATGCGTTTTTTTCTTTTCTTGTTTTTATTTTGTGATTGTACTGAAAATGCTCGGGGTTTTTTTTTCTTGTCCTTGTCTCTTCTCGACTGCACATTAGGACTCACGGGTGGGTTTGCTTTCTCCTTTGACAAGGAGCTTGGTTAGATTCATCAAGAAGACAAGTTTGGTATAACACTTGCTTCAAAAGGCTTTGTTTTCTCTTTCTCCTTTGACAACATGAATTGCTAGCTACAACTTTCAGTGCTTAGGTGATATTTGATGAAATAATTATGTTTGATCAATCAGTCTGGACTTTCCACTATATACTTCAAGCCAATATACAATTGTTTCAAATACTAATGCATCAAATAAGGACTGAAACTGAATCAAAATGCATACACGAGGACCCATACATTAAGAACTCTATCAAAGTGCATGAACAAGAGGACGGTTTAACTGCACACTTCTTGCAGCATCCCGCAAAAACTTGATTTTTATTTTTTTGAGTGTGGCTACAGCTTCTTGCATGTTTATTCTCTCGCCTGGTAGCTCTGCACAGCAAGCAAGAGCTAATCGCATAATGGAAGATAAGCAATCTATCTTAGTCACAAAACCAGGATCTTCCTCTTGTGTTACAAGTAAATTGGCATCCACAACTTCAGCTATTGCATCTGATGAAAGTGAATTTGCAACCCATTGCCTTAGATTCATTTCCTCAACAAACATTTCATTCGTAGGCTTCATTTTTGTGAATGTTTCCATGACTACAATACCAAAACTGTACACATCCCCTTGCGTAGAAACAATTCCATCCATCCCGTACTCTGCAATATTAATATACCAAAGAAAGTTAGAAGTTCCAGTTCTTCATGATTCTAAAATTGAAAGACATTAAACTAGCAAGTAGATCACCTGGAGCCATATACCCAACTGTGGCTAGGGTCATGGTTCGGGTCATGGAATCCCCGAAACCCAAGAGTTTTGCAATGCCAAAATCCGCAACATGTGCAACCATATCATCATCTAGTAGGATATTGCTTGGCTTCAAATCACAATGGACAATTGGCACTGAATAACCATGGTGTAGATATTCCAATGCCAATGCAACATCTACCATTATATTCAACCTCTTTAGGATATTAAAAGAAAAGTTTTGAGAATACAACCACTTCTCAAGGCTACCATTAGGCATATAGTTCAGTACCAAGGCTTTGAAATCCAATTGACTGCAACAGCTAATGATTTTGATAAGATTTCGGTGCCGAATATTACTTAGCGTTTCACATTCCCTCTCAAAACTCTTGAAAGCCCCTTCTAGCTGCAAATCGAAAATCTTTACTGCAACATCTATCCCATCTGAGAGTGTCCCTTTATATACTGAACCAAAACCCCCACTTCCAAGTAAGTTGCTATCGTTAAATCCATTTGTCGCCCTTAGAAGTTCCAGGTGCGAAACTCTTCTCCAAAGAGATTGAGGCAACACGGTAGCCTCTGTTGCATCTTCAATTTTCCTTTTCCTTTGCAGTATAGACACAAAGGCTACTAGGAATATTGTTGCTATGATTATTGCTGGAATAATATATTTCAAGTTGGATGAACCAGCTTTCCTTGAATTTGGTTGAAGTGTATTGTTTTTGCATGGTGGGACATGGAATCGAGCTGCACCACACAACGCCTTATTCGAGACAAATGATGGAGCAGAGAAGTTTTTGAAAGGTCCGCCTTCTGGAATTTCCCCTTGGAGTTGGTTGAAAGAAAAATTCAGGTACTTCAGATTCAAGAATGCTTCTAGCGACTTTGGAATTGCTTCAGACAAACTGTTCTTGGATAAATCCAACTGTATCAGGCCTGTCAATTTGCCGAATGAACTGGGAATAGGGCCTTCAAAATTATTATCTGCCAAGGAGAGACTAATTAAATGTAGAAGATCCCCAACGCTGCTTGGTATAACACCAAATAAATTGTTGCTTGATAGATCCATGTATGACAAAACTTTCAACTGGCCGATATCTTGTGACAGAGATCCATTTAGAAGATTTGATGACAAGTTGAAGAACCAGACTTGTTCTAGTTCCCACAATGTAGATGGCAGTGTAGAAGTTAACAAATTGGAGGCTAATGATAGAATTCCAAGATTTGCAGATAGATTGCCTAAGCAAGAAGGTATAAAACCAGAAAGTTGATTCTGACTCAAATATAATACAGAAAGTTTGTTTAGTTGACAAAGTTTATCGGGAATATATCCTTGCAACTTGTTATCAACCAAATACAAACCTTGGAGACTCCCTAGTCTTCCTATCGAAGTTGGAATTAACCCGCTCAATTGATTGGATACCAGGTTTAAGGATATCAAGCTGCTCAAGTTGCCAATATCATTGGGAATGCTACCCTTCAATTTGCATTCGCTTAAAGAAATTTTTTGAAGCGATGTAGAGTAATTCTGAAAAGAAATAGGAAGAGGAGCGTTTAAAGGATTACGTCCCAGGATGAGTACCCCAAGATTTCTAAGATTACCTAAACAAGAAAGGAAATTTACTTCTGGAGTTGAAGTGTCAACCGTCAAATTATTTTGGTATAAGCTAAGATACTCAAGGTTTGCTAAGGCACATAGTTTGTTAGGAATAAACCCGGAAAATGAATTGTCGGAAATGTCTACATGATTGAGCTTAGAGCCATTGGAGATAAAATTGGGAATGACTCCGCTGAGTTCATTCATTCCTAAATATATACTTTGTAGGTTCGGAATTCCAAGGCCTATGTTTGCTGGGAGGCTACCTGAGAGTTGATTACCAACAAGTGAAAGTACTGTCATCTTTGACATATTGAAGATTGTGGATGGAAAGGGGCCATTGAGATTGTTAAAATCCAGTGACAAATACTGTAGACTTTGAAGATTGCCAACTTCATATGGTATAATACCTGCCACAGTTAGTATTAGCACACAATAGCGTTAGCATTCCTAAAATAATATTAACTCCATAGTTTCACTGGATCATTAAAAAGAAAATAAAAATACGACAAGGAATTGGGCATATGTAGAGAAGATGGAAGGATACGCTCTGTTTAGGAATTATGAAATGGAATGTGATATCCACACATATTTTTTTATTTCTCAACACACCTTTCTAATTTTCGGCCGTCGGATTGGATAAATTAAAGAAGATCAACACATAAAAATTAATAAAGGATGTGTGAGAAGTAATTATGAAATCTAATGAGTACTTAATGTACTTACTTTCTGATTTAATTCAATAAAAAATGCCAGATATTCAATGCTTTTAAAGCTAAAGAAAAATCAAATAAAAAATTTATTATTTTTTAATGAGTACTTACTTTATGTTTTGAATCAATAAAAAAATGCCACATATTCCATGCTTTTTAAAGTTAAAGGAAAATTAAATAACATATTTATTATATTTTTTAAACAAAAAAACTGAAATATAATTGACCAAATCAAAAAGTAACTACACACTAGTGATCTCTCCAAATACGGACCAGGATCCTCGCCGAATCCATTCCCTGAGGATCCTAGGGGGCCCACAATCCTGTTCATTCATCGTATATCGTGTAGTCATAAATTATTTAAAATTTAAAATTTAAAATTCAAATGTAAATAGTACCTAACAAAAACTGACTGCACGATATACGATGAACGGACAGGATTGCGGGATCCCTAGGAAATGGATCCAGCGAGGATCCTAGTGCTCCAAATACTATCCGTTTGACGTTAGTTAGGTGAGATGGACTTATAATTGAGTAATTAAATACTTGATATTTATTTTTTACATCGAATATTAATTATTGTATTTGAGTATTTCGAACCATTCACGATTGAAAATAGCACCCCACCTTTATCATTGAAAAATAAATCATCATGCTTGGAACAAGGAAATAAATTGCTCTAATTAAGACTAATAGACTTGGCAATTAAGTACCTATTAAGGTGTTGTTGCCAAAACCAAGCTGTGTTAACTGGGTCAAGTTTCCAATACTTCTTGGTATGCTTCCACTGAAATTATTATAGTCCAATACCAAACTAAGGAGCTCTTTGCACTGCCATAACTTGTGTGGAAGTGGACCATCAAACTGGTTGTGAGCCGAATTTAACACCTGGATGCTTGGAAGATGTTGGCATATATTGTCCGGAAAACTACCACTTAAGTTGTTTCCGTTTAGAGCCAAAATTGTCAAAGAGGACATGTTGAAGATAGCCAAAGGAATGGGGCCTTTTAGGGCATTAGCCTGCACATACAACTTCTCCACCTCATCTTTACTGCCAATCAAGTTTGGAATTTCTGAAGAAAAAAAAGAGGAGAAATTAGGTTAACATCTTTTTTTTTGCTACTTCATTAATTAAAATCCAATTCATTTTCAATTTTTGATCAAGGTCCTTGGGTTTTAATAACATCATTAATTATTTGAATAATAAAATATTTATATTTTTAAATATACTCCTTTAGTGTTAAAAATGTTACAATTAGTATATTTATATTTATGGCTAAATTTTTTATCATATATTTTTATTTTTAGTTTGTACCTATTTTTAATTTGTACCAAAAATTTTTTTTTCATTTTTAATTTGTACCCATATATTAGTTTCTTTTTGTGCCCCTATTTTTTAAAGTTTTATTTGTGTTTGTACCCATGTGTATACCATTACGCGACATTGTATATTTAATCAATGATAGAATAATTACATATGGTATATTTATGTTTTATGCCTAAACTTTGTATCATATATTTATATTTTTAGTTTGTACCCACTTTTAATTTGCAACATTTTTTTTAATTTGTAGTATTTTATTTTTAGTTTTATTTTGTACCCATGTATATTAATTCTTTTTAGCGCCTATATTTTAAAAAAATTCATTTGTACTCATAATTTTTTAATCTTTTATATGTACCCTAATTTATTTATAATGTACCCATTCTTCTTTATTAATGTACCACTTTGTGTATATGTGAAATGTGCCAATTTTTTTGTAAAATGTACCAAAACACTATGGATACATTCTTTTGCCATTTATTATTTCTTATTTTTACATAGTTTTTATCCATTTATTCAATCAAAATGTTTGAAGTTTTTTATTGTAACCGTTTCTAATAGTATTTTATAATGAGAGATTTTAAATTTATTATATAAAATATCAAACAATTAATGTCAAAACTATAAAAATATAAATATTAATTGTAATATAAAGAGGTGTACAAAGTTAAGGGACTTTGATCAAACTTTGAATACCATTAAGGTTTCAATCAAAGAATGTTAAGAGTTAGGGACCGTATTCAAAGTATCCCAAAAAAAAAATCACATATAGGTTTTCTATATAATATTATATATGATATATAATAATGCGAAAAAAGCTAGGGAAGTCACATTTATGCGTACCACGTTGTCTTAATTACCTCTGTGAAACCTACTAGTATTAATCAGTGCACCCTGTTTCTATGAGAAATGTGGTACAATGAGTATTGTTTACAAAAATGTGATTTCACCAGCATTAATCTAATAATACTTAAAAATGACAAAGCTGAGTCTTTCCTACCTTCGAGCATGTTAAAATCAAGGTATATATTCCTGAGCATGGTTAAGTTCCCAATTTCTCTTGCTATGCTACCTGTTACTTAAGTAAAATATGTAAACCCCCGTAGTTAAAAAATGAACCAACAAAGTATGTTATATAATCATGGCAACAAGCTGATTGAGTCATACCTTTGAAATTGTTATTTCCAAGTAATATCTCTTGCAACACTGTTAACCTCTCGATTTCTCTTGGTATGGTACCTATCAAAGTATAGGGTTTGTAATATGTATTGGCCACAGAAAAGGAATAAGGAAAAAAGTAAAAACTAGCAGATAAATAACATGGTATGGAACCTGATAGCTTGTATGGTAATTGGTTCGCATGTACGTACCGGATAGCTGGTTGCTTCTTAGATTAAGTACTTGAAGTGCAGATAAGTTGAAGATGGCGTTTGGTATGGGACCTGAAAATTGATTACCGTACAAATTGAAGGTTTGAAGTTTAGATAACAACCCGAACCATGATGGAATGGTTCCTTCAAAGTCATTGAATTCAAAGCTAATCAACTTCAGCCTGCGTAGATTAGACAATTCCGGGGGCAAGGTACCACCAAAACTGTTGTTTCTGAATTCCAATTGAACAAGAAATGAGAGGTTGCCTAGGTGGGGAGGGATGGTTCCAGTGAGACCCATGTAGGAGAGATTCAAGGTTGTCACTCTAAGGTGGCGTGCACTGCAAGTAACGCCAACCCAGTTGCAAATGTCGGAAATGGAGGTAGACCAGTTGGTGGTCAAGATGTTTTGAGGATCAATGGTGATATGGGATTTGAGGGCAAGAAGAGCAGACTGATCTGTGCTGATGTTGGTTTGTGCTGCTACGGAACCCGTTATTAAGATAGGTATGTATACACAACAGTATTGGAATAGCAGCAACGACAAAGTTGTCGACGAGAGGAAACGAGTTCTCGCCATTGTTATATGTGCTGAGTTCCATGAAATCAGAAGAAATGGGATCTCAAAGGTAGTCTTTTTAACTTTGAAAACTTTGACATTATTATTGATTGACTGCCAAAAAGAAAATAAATTATTGACTAATTAAACATTTAAAACATAAAAAAAAATCCTTCTATTTTTTTTTTTAATGGGATGCGCATCTTGTTGAATAGGTCTTTGGAAACACTTAAATAAACCACATGCATCTTCAACTTAGAGAAAAAACATTTTGGATTGAGCAATGGCGTAGTCAATTTTTTTTTTTATGGGTGGGCTAGTTAAAAAAATGGACACTTTGGATGCGGTCCCTAGTTATCAATATTCTTTAACTGAGATCTTGTATGTTTTTAGTTTTTGATCGAAGTCCTTGAATTAATGTAATAGTGTAAGTTACTATATTTTTTTAATTAAAAATTAGAAATTAAAATTTGTATTTGTTTATATTAATGAGATTTTAAATATAACTCATAATTTGTGGGATTAAAAATAATAAAATATAAATTAATACTCTCTATATATTGTGTGTGTGTGGGTACATTCATCAAAATTAACAAAAAAAAAAGAATTATTGTACCAAAACATGGATACATTCTCCAAAACACAAAAAAAAAAAGAGATGATATTAGGCTTAATAATGTTAGTAAATTTATTCAATTAAACTTCACATAGATACATTCTCAAATCAACGAAATAAGAATGTGCCCATATAAGCTTAAAAATAAATTAAAAATTTTTTAATGGATTTTATATTAAAAAATTGGGTACATTTTATATAAAAAAAATTGTACATTTTATATTAAAAAGGGTACATTTTACATATAACAAATTGTTATATTTAAAAATGGGTACATTTAAGATTAAAAAAATTTGAAAATTATATGAATGGGTACATTTAAGATTAAAAAATCAAGAATCTTTTTATAAAAAACTAATGGGTACAAACTTATTCTAATTTTTATTTTATTTTAGAAATGTTTGAATTCAAAATTAATTAGGAGTTTAATAGAGGTGTGAGTATTAAAATCCTAAATCAATTACTAATTTTTATTTTAAAAAATATGTAATAAACATGTAAATTCATTATCACATTAATTTTAAGGACTTCAATCAAAATTTGAAAACTAATAAGGTCTCAATCAATGAACATTAGTAACTAAGGACCGGATACTAATTTTTCCTTTAATTAATTCGAACCTTCTTCATAATTATCGCATATAATATAAGAATGTATTTTCAATAGTAATTAGTCTAGGATTCTTACATGAATAGGAATTAATATCAGTCTATATATATCCCACACGTTAATACAAGGAGTCATATTTATCAATCGTCTAGATTTTCGTATATAATTTCAAAGTTTCAAAGTTAAAAAGATTACCTTTGAGTTCCCATTTCTTCTGACTTCTTGGAATTCAGCACTACAAGTTACAACAATGGCGAAAACTCGTTTCCTCTCGTCGACAACTTTGCTGCTATTCCAATACTGTTGTGTATACATACCTTTCTTAATGACGGGTTCTGCAGTAGCACAAACCAACATCTGCACAGAATTATTTCACAATTATTGGTATTCATTTTGATTTGGACTTGCAACAACGTGAAGCATTATTATAGTTGAATCACTGTACATATAATTTGCTCGACCATTTGAATGTGGAGGATGCACTAAACTAGTAGGTGGTTTCTTAAGTCTTTATCATATATCATTTTCTATCATATATATAATTAGGACAATGAATTAGAGACACCTATTTATAGTAATATTTCGGTAGTATTTTTCTTTAGGGAATTTTAATGAAAAGGGCTTGGACTAAGTTTATTTTAACAAAAAATCATGCTATAAACTTTATTTAATGAAAAAGAATTAAATTTTAATGAAAAACCCTTAAATTTTAATAAAAAGGACAAAAAAACTTAATTTTTAACGAAAATGACACAATTTAAAAAAAAACAAAAAACCTGACGCGCGTAGTACATGTACACTATTTATGAAATTGAACACTATTTATAAAACTGAACACTATTTATGAAACTTAACTGTACTATACTATTTATTGGTTCAATTTCATAAATAGTGTCTAGTTTTTTGTCCACTTTCATAAAATGATGTCTAGTTCTTGATCATGTTTCATAAATAATGCCTAGTTATTGGGTCCAGTTTCATAAATAATGTATAGTAATTGGTACAATTTCATTAATAGTGTCTCTTTCTTGGTCTGGTTTCATAAATAATGTCTAGTTATTGGTCCACTTTCATAAATAGTGCCTAGTTCTTGGTCATCATAAATATTGTCTAGTTCTTTCTCCAGTTTCATAAATAGTGTATAGTCCAGTGTTCAAATTATGCCTAATTCTTGTTTTCGTTTCATAAATAGTGTCTACTTATTTATCCAATTTCATAAATGATGTCTACTTATTGGTCTAGTTTCATTAATAGTGTATACTTATTGGTAAAGTTTTATAAATAATGTTTAATTCTTGATTCAGTTTCATAAGATTTGAAACTTAGACTCTTATTGGTGAAGTTTTATAACTAGTGTTTAATTCTCAGTAATTATATTTAAAAAACTGTTTTCAATTACCAAATTAAAATTTCCTCACTTTTTTCATATACCTACAATAATAAATGTAGCTCTCTATCCAATTTCTTGAGCTTGGGTATTATCTTCGAGAAATTTTTCCTTGTGCCCGTAACACAAATGATATACCACATGTTATTATATAAGTATGGTGGAAAATTTTATTTTTTATGTTATTAATTTTTTAACACAAGATTCTCACAACTTGTATGGAGTGTATCATCTCGTGTTCTGGGCACATTGAAAAGTTTCTCATCATCATGACTACTATTAGAAAACAACACCACAAAAATAAAATAGGAGAATGTAATTCAATTCGAATTTTTTTTATTTTTTTATTCTATGCAAAAAAAAAAAAAAACTATTAATGTAGCTGAACGATGGGACAAAAGGTAGGAGAAAAAAAGTGGACTCGAGGGTGGGGGGGGTACGCGCCCAGCGCTTGTTATGTTTTTTTTTTAGTCTTTTGTCCTTATTATTAAAATAAAGTTAGTGGGTGGTTTTTGATCAAAATGTAAAAATTTGAAGCCCTTTTCATTAGTTTTCTTTTTTCTTTATTGTAATTGTGAGGTATTAGATTTCCCTCATCCCTTATTGTAATCATTATATCACAATAATAATAATAATAATAATAATATTTATAATATTCATAATAATAATAATAAAATACAAGGCGTCATAATTCTATGTGGTACAGGATTAAGTCAGAAATTCTTTGGCATTAGGATTCTATTACTATGAATGCGAGCATCTCCAAAACAAATCTTCAATAAAAAAATTATCCTTATTCCTAAGCCATATTAAACAAAAACCTATTCTTATTAAATATTCATTTGTAAATCTCAATGAACGGGTAAAGCCCAGGATAGGAAGTCGCATCTCTTTCGGAGTTCAATCGGAAATCCTATTTTAAAAAAGAATCTAATCATGGGCTCTCATGTGGCAAAGGTATGCCTTACCTTACCTCTTTCCAGTCATCACCAGAAAGTTATGACTTATATTTTATATTTGAGTCGAAACATGAGTAAAATGATCTTTAATGCACCTAAGCCATAAATGTTATATTTGAGTTTCTACTTAAAGTGAGATCCAAATTTAGATTTCAATATGAGGTTTGAGTTTTCAATCTAACCATCTTTAATGCACATATTTAAATTGTCAAAACTCAATCCCAATGGCGTAGCCACACCAAAGGCTACGGTGGGCTGTAGCCCAGGGAGAGTTAGTGCATAGTCTAATATAATAGACAAAAAAAAAAAAAAAAAACAAGTGGCAAGAAGAATTATTTTTTAATGAAATTGTTAACTACATTGCAATATTTTGGGAATTGAAGAGAAAATCAAGAAGAAAGATGATCACGAACGGATGAACACAGAGAGTTTTAGAGAGAGTATAGAGAGAGAAATATGCTTTTGTATTGACTGATAAAATGAAGGTTACACACACTGTCTTTATAAGAGAAAGCCTAACTACTCTAACCAAATACTAACAAACTTACTAACTATATTGCTGACTTGTACACTTAATACTCCCCCCTCGATCTCAACTGGGGTATCCCAGTTTGAGATTGCAACAAAGTCTCAAATAGCAAACACTGAAATATGGGCAAATGGACTCACTGCAGAGTGTTCTTGTTCCAGTTTGACTTTGGTGATGATTTCTGATTGCAAAGGGTTTCGTTGCCCCTGAGATTGTAGCAATTGAGCTTGTTTTTGCTCCTCATTTTCTTCTCAACTGCGGTCCCACAAACATGAACCTAAATCCATACTTAAATTGACAGGTGTCCATACTCAAACATGCTACTTGCATAGATGCTACTTGCTCACTAAACTGACAAGTATTCAGAACCTAAATCCATACTCGAGAACGGTGCAATTTCAATTTGGTTCTTCCCCAAGAATTTCAGCCCTTCAAATTGATCTACACCTCCCGCAGAAGCTTCAATCAAAGAACAATCTCTTATAAAGTTGTAACAGACCCTCATGCTGGTTATAACAATTTCTTGCGAGATTACCCTTCGTGGGATTTACCATCAACAACTTCATTTAACATTGGCTCCGGCCTTTAAAACAGAAAATTAACAAACTATAGTGTGGCATCGACCTTAACTATAGTACCACGAAATCGCCATTTGTGGATTTTACCAAAAAACAACTACTCTTAACAATGGCATCAGCCTTCACAATTTCAAAAACAAAAAATCAACATCTATGTAGGATTACCTTTCGTGGGATTTACCTACTAACATCATGGAATTACCTTTCGTGAGATTTACCGTTAACAACTTCTTCTATCCTTCATGGGATTTACCATTTACAACTTCTTCAAACTTCATCGTATAACTAGACTTACTGTAGATTCATGCTAACAACTGAGTTGGTTAGACTCGACATTATAGGTTGAGATAAGG